TTCATAAAGCCTTCTCAAGAAGTCAAGTTCAAAGACAAAGGAAGTTGAATAACAACAAAGACAAATATATCTGCGCTGCAATGCTGATTCAACACGATTGAACACCAAGGGAGAGATTGTTGGGAATATTTTATGGTCCAATCTAATTAAATATCTTTGTATTGGTGTAGTTATTAATTAAATGTGTAATATGGGCCACAAATGTATACCAGTCCATTAGCTTCATTGTAATCCATAAGTTAGCCAACTTCTCCTATAAAAGGAAGCTAACTTATGGAAAACCTAAGGAAAAAAGGCTTTGAGAGAATAGAGGTGAGATAGAGAGATTAGGTTTTACGCTGCTCTCTTTCTCGAGGGAGAGCAGTGACAGTTCACGGTATACCAGATTCGTTGTTCATCTCGATATCTTTATATCTTCTTCTTCTTCACTGTTATGATTGTTTGATTGTCAAGAAACTGGAACTATCATAAGCAATGTCCCCCTTTCCCTATTTTTGTTGTTTCTCTTTGCTGTGTCTTGAAAAGTGAAAGGGAAAATCCCAATCTTGCCATCCCATATAGTCTCCCCATCATCTGCTATAATAGGTCTCCCAACCACAACCAAGAACGTCACTTTAGGAAAAATCCCTTTACTTTGAACTACTCTATAGGGGTCTGTTTCATCCGAGAGCATATAGACATGCTCATTTTCCTTAGTTAAGTTGAACCATTTTTCATCTATATGCTGTGAAATAATGGAAAAGGTTACTCCCTGAGGAGCCCTGGCAGATATATTTATATTAGAGAGAGTTTAATGTAAAGTACAATACTAAGCCTATAATAATTCTATTACACCCCCTCAAACTGTGCGGGAGATACAACGCACAGGTTGTCTTTCAAAAAATGAAAACGTTGACTAGATAGACTTTTAATAAAAATATCTGCCAGCTGTAGATGAGTAGGAACATGTTGAACAATCAGATCTCCATGAGCAACCCGTTCGCGAACAAAATGATAATCAATCTGAATATGTTTACTGCGAGCATGCTGAACTGGATTTGCAGTCAAGTAAGAAGCAGATATATTATCACATAATAAATGTACCGGCTCAGAGATAGGCCATCCAAGTTCGAACAGGACTGAGCGGATATGTAGTGTGTCTTGTACTGTGTAAGCAATGGCACGATATTCCGCTTCTGTGGAGGATTTGGACACAGTGCACTGCTTCTTAGCCTTCCAGGAAACCAAATTAAGGCCCAAAAATACAGCAAAACCTGTGGTAGACCGAGAACTATCAGGACAACCTGCCCAATCTGCATCAGAGTAAGCAACTATACAGGTTGGCCGATTAGACTGCTGAAGCCAAAGTCCATGTTCTCGTGTTCCCTGCAAGTATCTGAAAATTCTTTTGACTGCAAAAAGATGAGTGGTACGAGGAGCATGCATGAACTGAGACACTAAGTGTACTGCATAAGTAATATCTGGCCGTGTCAAAGTTAAATATTGTAATGCACCAACCATGCTGCGATACTCAGTAGAATCAGATAATAACTCACCATCAGAAAGAGACAGAGTGGTACGCGAAGCTAACGGGGTGCGAACAGGTTTGACAGTATGAAGGTGAAAATGAGCTAGAAGGTCAGTAACATATTTATGTTGAGAGAGAAACAAACCTTTAGCTGAACGAATGGCCTCAACACCCAGAAAATAATGGAGATTACCCAAGTCTTTCATAGCAAAATGTTTAGATATAATTGAAATAAATTGGGTAACAGAGAATTCAGAATTGCCAGTAATAATAATATCATCCACATATAGTAATAAATAAATAATAGTATTATTCTGGCGGTATATGAACAAAGAATTGTCGGATTTGCTACAGGAAAAATTATGTTGTAGAAGAAAGCTACTAAATCTATGAAACCAGGCTCGTGGAGCTTGCTTAAGGCCATAAATGGCCTTGCGCAGACGACATATATGATTAGGAAAGTGAGGGTGAATAAAACCACGGGGCTGCCGCATATAAACTTCTTCTGTCAGATTCTCATGTAAGAAGACATTTTTAACATCAAGTTGTCGTATACCCCACCCAAAAGAAATAGCTAGAGTAAGTACAATACGAACAATGGTGGGTTTAACGACAGGACTAAAAGTTTCAGAGAAATCAATACCTGCCTGCTGATTAAAACCCTGTGCAACTAATCGAGCTTTATGGCGCTCTAAGGATCCATCAGAATGATATTTAGTTTTATAAATCCACTTACAACCAACAATATTTTTAGAGTTATCAAAGGGCACCAAGTCCCACGTATTATTATTAATGAGTGCATTAAATTCATCAGCCATCGCCTCACGTCATTTTAATTGTTTATTTGCCTCAGTAAAACAGGTAGGATCTGCATTGATAGTAACTGTACTTAAATTAAAAATGGTTTTAGGCTTAAAAATTCCTGACTTAGCACGGGTTTGCATGGGATGGTGATTAACTACCGTAGTGGACGTAGGTGAGGTGGTTTCAGGTGAGACAGTGTCGGTTGATGTTGTCTGTGGCGTGCTAGACGAAGTATGGGAGGAGAGATGGGATGGTGGGGGGCTGGTTGTGGACGTGGGATAGGAGGAATGGGGCGACGGTACACACGGAGTGATAGGAATACTTGGTGACCGAGGTGGCGATGATGGGGTTGGTGCTGGTGCGGCCGTAATTGTGGGAACAGGCTGGAGAGGTGGGTCAAGAGTGATATCGGTGAGATGCATAGGAGATGGTGTAGTAGAAATAGACCTGGACGGAGCAGACGAGAGAGTTTTAAAAGGATATGTGTCCTCATGAAACCTAACATGACGGCTAACATAGACTCGACCTGTGAGAGGATCCAAACAACGATAGCCTTTATAACCGGATGCATAGCCAAGGAAAACACACTGAACTGAACGAGGTGATAATTTATTGGCTGAGGTGGCATTAAAATTTGGATAACAGGCAGAACCAAATACTTGCATAAAGGAGTAATCTGGAACTCGGTTAAACAGTTTTTGATACGGAGTAAGACCATTTAAGGTAGGAGAGGGTAATCTATTAATAATATATGCAGCAGTAAATATGGCATCGACCCAATAGTGACTCGGAACCGAAGCTTCAAGAAGCATGGTCCTAGTTAACTCAAGTAAATGACGATGCTTGCGCTCAGCAACCTCATTCTGTTGAGGTGTCTCAGGGCAAGATTTTCTAAAGTAAATGCCATTAGCAGAGAAAAATTGCTGCATATTATTATTAACAAATTCACCTCCCCCATCACTTTGAAAAATTTTAATTTTCTGATTAAAAAGATTTTCAACCAAAGCTTTAAAATTTTTAAAGTGCATGAAAACTTCCTTTTTGTGACACATGGGATATATCCAAGTATAACGAGAAAAATCATCAATGAAACATACATAATACTTGAATCCCAAATTTGAATACACAGGTGACTGCCACACATCAGAATGAATAATTTCCAAAGGAAAAATAGAATTATGACTAGCATCCATAAAAGGTAAACGTTATGATTTTCCTAAACGACAGGCCACACACTCATGAGTAAAGGGAGTATGACTACATAAGAATTGTTTTCTCTTAAGAAACTGTAAAGTACTATCACCACAGTGACCTAATCTACGGTGCCACACAGGGCCAGAAGCTAAAACGGAAGCAAAAACTAATGGTGATGCGGACGGCAGATGGAGAGGATAAAGTGGTCCACTACTAGTAGCTCGCAGAAGTATTGCCCCCGTTGCTTTTTCCTTAACCAAGAAAGAATTTTTATCAAAAATTACAGTACAATTATTATCAGCACAGAGCCTTTTAATGGAAATTAAATTATATTTTAACTGAGGCACATGATAAACGGATTTTAAAGTGAGAGGACGATCAGATCTAGGTAAAGCAACATCACCAATATTACATATGGGAAGATGGGCACCATTGGCAACACTAACAGAATTATAGCCGGTGTAGGGAGATTTATTAACTAAATTACCTTCAGATGCAGTCATATGAGCAGAAGCTCCTGAATCAGGAAACCGTAGAGCAGGAGTAGTGTCACCGGGAGTAGTCAACAGAGCAGGAGACGTCGGTTGTGTGAAACGAGAAGGACAGTTAATGGCAGAATGACCTGCAGAAAAACAAATTTGACAGACAACAGGATGGGGAACAGATCCGAGAATACCTCCGTCTGATGGCAAGCCTGTATGACTACTGTTAGTAACACAGATAGGTAAAGCATTAATATTTAAATGTGACACAGCAGAATTACAAATAACAGTATCCGTAGATGTCACACCCCCTGCAGGAGTACTCGGCTGCCCACCCCCTCTGGGGTAATAAACTGGATGCCCCTGGGGGAACCAATATGCCTGCTGCTGCTGTCCTCGGCCACGCCCCCTGCCTCCGCGGCCTCTGCCGCGCCCACGTCCTCGCCCGCGCTGTGGAGCGCCGTTCTGCCGAGCCTGCCCGACCGGGTAAGTCTGCTGCCCGACCGGGTGAGTGGATCCTGAATTCTGCTGGGTTGGCTGTTGCCCAGATGACTGCCTGGGATATGAAACAGCCGCGCCAAACGCCTGATGAATGGACTGGGACTCCTGGGAGCGGAGATAAAGGACCCGCTGCTCTAACTCAAGAAGATGATTACGGAGAGTCTCAAACGGGAAATTTTGTCCAAATAAGGACACAGCAGTGTATAAAGATTCATACTCAGGTCCTAGACCCATAATAGTAGTTTTAAAATTTCACGCTGAGGCACATGGCAATTGATTGTGGCAAGATCATCAGCTAATGTTTTAATTTCTCGCAAATAATTATCCATGGACTGATCAGGTTTCTTTTTAATTTGATTAAATAAACGCTTTAATTCCATAGATCTCGCTAAACTAGCAGACATAAACCGAGACTCCAACCGCTCTCAAATTTCATATGAATGTTTTAAATCACGTACATCGATAAGAACATCCCTAGATAGAGTTGCAAATAACCATGAACGGATGGTTTGATCAATTCTTAACCAAGTAGAAAATTCGGGATTGTGAATTTTACGGTTAAGAGCATCTATGGAATAAGCAGGGGGTACCTGAATGGAGCCATCAACCATGCCAAGGAGAGCTTGGGACACCAAAAACGATTCGAACTGTGTACGCCAGGTAGTGTAGTCTTCCACCGCTAATAATTTGGTAGTTACAATATTTGTGACATTAGTTGCCACATGTGAGATACTCTGGGCGAGATCTGTGAGGAGTGAGCCAGTCGGGATGACTGCTGGTGTGCGAGAGGGAGGGATGACAGAGGAGACACCAGGTGAGCCAACAAAAGTGGGACCGGCAAACGATGATCCAGCCGAGAAGGGTGGTGTGTAGAGGCCTAGGGCCGCTGGCATGGCAGATGGCTGCCACGGAATTCCCGGATGAAGAGTCTGAAACAGTGAGTAGGCACCGGGAATGTCAGCGATGAAGGAAGAAGAGGCTGGCGAGGGAGTCACCTGCGGCGGCGCGGTCAGAGGAGTGGCGGCGCTGGTGATGACTACGGCTGCGTCGGTGGCGGCTGATGTGACTGGCGCCATGGTCGAAGAAGTTGGAGCCACTGTGGAGACTTCCATGGATCCGGCGGAGATGCGTCCTGCGGAGACGCTTTGCTGAGGGGCTGCGGAAGCCGTGTAGCGAGAAAAAAAAGGGTTAGGGAAGAGAGAGAGGAAAAATTTAGGTCTCTGATACCATGTGAAATAATGGAAAATGTTACTCCCTGAGGAGCCCTGACAGATATATTTATATTAGAGAGAGTTTAATGTAAAGTACAATACTAAGCCTATAATAATTCTATTATATGCACATACTCATAGAAATCATGGAAGGTTTGGTTGGATAAAACTGAATGAGGAAGTAAATGACTTAAATAGAATTGCATCCTTAACCTCTTACATTTTTCAGTTAATAAAGGCTTCATTGCATTTGAGTGTCTCTTTATATCATTCCTCTTCACACACCTATGAACTGAAGATTTTGATGAATGCAGTTCAACTGCCAATGATCTCAGCGTGATCTTTCTGTAAATAGGAATGCCTTTTATCTTTTGAAGGTCAAGTTCAATCCTTTTTCTGCCTTTTTTTTTGGACATGGCATCTATATCTTGTCCTGCTTGTAGTTGTTTCTGCATGTTCTGCCATATTGTGGCCAATGCCCGTCTTGAAATGTTAAACTCAGAAGTTACTGCTTGAATAATACCACCTTTAAGTGTTCCATTAACTGACTTGGCTAAAAGCTTCTCAACAACCTTATTTCTGTCCACATCATTTAAGACAACATTTTTCTGCCCTTCCCTTCCCTTCTGACTATTTGTCTATGTTGTATTGCAGGTGTTGTGAAGATTGTACTTGATCCTGTGCCTCTGGTGGATGGATATAACTGCAGCTCATTAGAAGTAAAGCCAAGAGGAAGATTGTCTTCCATTTATGTGAATTTAACTCGATAGGAAGGTGTAGTAATAGTGGTAGATGTGTATTAATTGTGTGAGTGAAGTTGTATCTAAGGTTGGAGTGAAGGAGAGAAAAATGAAAATGAAATTTAGAATCCCTCCAAAAATTTGGTTGGCCTGATATTTTTAGAATTATTGGAGTCGTGTAATTATTTCCCTCCAAGTTGAACTTTCCATTACTATTTTCGTCAGCTATTGGTTCTGTCAGCTCAAGTAGCAGAAAAGCAACTCTCTTTCCTGCGAATGATTTGTCCTTTGTTTTCTTTTAGATTTCTCTTTCCCTCATTTTAGATAAAAGGCAAATTTGTCCAGTCAACATTTTATACTCGCTTTCCTTATTGCTTGTGCCAGTCAACATTGGCTAATTAAATAGGGACAGAGGAAGTATAATTCTTTATAGAAATTGGAAGTAGAATTTCTACTTCACACCAACTATTGAAATCAATGATGAATTCAGAACCTTTTTCAAGGGAGGTATCGGCCGCATATGGACATGGTTTGATAGGACCAGGTCAACTTTTTCCACGTTAGTTCAGGTGTTTGAATTCCAAAATTTTGATCAAAGCATTGTAAACCAGTTTTAGATTCATATCGTATGTATCCGCTGATTCTCGATCAAGATTTAGCTCATTTGAATAATTCCGAAACACAAATATTTAAATTTTTATAGAAATTAGAATCACAATATAACTCAACGATACTTCCTCATGTATAAACATATTAGTTTATACATGAGAATAAACTAGTACTTGAATTCTACTTATGTTTGCACCATAAAGAATGACTCGATTTTCGATCTAGTTTGAAGTATAATGTCAACATCATCTTAAAACGATGTTTAATTCACATTTACTCTTTCAGTCTTTGAAACAACTCTATATGAAATACATAGTTTTATATATCAATCTCTTGTCGTATTCCAACTAGAAATACTTCCTCCATCTCGTTGAAAGATTCTCATTTTCCTTATTTAGGTGTCTCATTTAAAAGTTCTCATTCCATTTTAGAAAATAATTTACTCTATTTAGTTACACCTTTACTCAAATTTCTATTTCGTACTCATTACATGTCAAGTGTCACAATATCTCCTCCCCAACTTATCTCTATTTAATTACTTTCACTTTATATGTTTACTATTTCTAATTTTTTCTCTTTCCTCTCTTTTTACCCATATTACTTTATTTATCCACTTGCCTAAAAACGTGCCATTTACCCACAGGAACTTTCAACAGGACATAAGGAGTAACAATTTTGACATAGATTTTCCATGAATTGACATGACATTTTATCACGATTTCATACTAATTTTTTGTTTCAAAATGTTCTTGACAAAGATTTAGTAAGGACCCACATATTCATTCCAACTCCATGTTGTTAGAAATTTATTGAGAAATATAGTTTAAGTGTTCATGTATGATCCTTAAACATTATTTTAATTAAATAATGAGAATCTTTTTAACTAAAACCATTATTACGTATTATTATAAATATGCATGGGACCATGTTTACTGGCTTACTGCTATACGACAACCTTAATATTTATAATTATAAGTGTTACATATTTTGTGTACGTACATTTTGAGTGTAAGTATGATTATTTTAAGAGAAATTGGTTGTAAATGGGAGTAAATAACACCAAATAAGCTCCCGACTATTTTTTATTCTGATCCTCAATAGGACTAAATTTCAATATTATTCCTGTTTTACCCTTAATGAAAGTTGGCTCCTCCCAAAACCCCACATCTGCCTGATTGTGCGCTCCACTCATATCTCAACCCCACTCCTTTTTCTCTTCGTTCTTATTTGCTTCGCATATACGGAGTATCAATATTATACAGAGTAAGTGCTCAACGGTTCCATGGACGGCAAAGTTAAAGACGAAGGTGGGATGATGAAACACGATGAATAGAAATCAGTCGAAAGATCCATGAAAGTCGGCGAGGTATCTGATCCCTCTTTTGTTTATCTTTCCCTCCCTCTTTTCTTTCATCTTTCAGTCCCTCTTTTGTTTCAACTTTTTGTGGCAAGACTAGAGTTCAGAGCTCTGTTTCTTATTTGATTGTTAAAAAAATTCCAAACTTAATCTGAAAATGCCATTAAAATGGCATTCTTACACTTCAAAAATTCCATATTTTCCTCTGAAATTGCCATTCAAATGGCATTTTCGATTCATGTTGGCATTCTAATGGAAATATTGGCATAGATGGCGAAGTCGATTAGATATGCAACGACGGAGTCCGGATCTGCAAGGCGGAGCTCAGATCTAAAGTGGCGGCGGCCAAATCTGCAGGGGTGGCGGCCGGCGACCGGGGGTGGCCAGATCTGACCAGATCAACGGCAACAGTGGCAAGATCTCCAGTAACAACAACCAGATCTATAGCGGCAACCAATTCCGCGGTGGTGGCAGTGGCTGGAGGCAGGTGGTGATCGGCGACAGGTGGCCGGCGACAGGTCTAGCTTTTGTCTGCAGCAACAAGTTTGTGCAAGCTTCAGGGTTATATCTCTCAAGATCATATAATAACTCCTATTTGGGGAAATCTTTAACTTTACTCCTATTTTAACAATTAAGGATTTATTTACTCCTATTTAGATAAATATCTCTTATTTTAAATTAACATGCCTTTATTTAAGTGTGTGTATGTTCATGAAGGAACATGTCTTTTAAATTGTAGCGGCTAGTTAATTGACATGGCTTTTATGAAGAGACACCTCTTATCAATAAATAAGGATCATGTTGAACCGTGAAGGGGGAAAAATAATCGACGAACAATTTTCCCATCTTCGCATCTTGCTTAGGGGTGGACTCGGGTCGGGCCAACCGGTCCGGAACCGGACCGGCCTGCCACTGTGCGGGCCCGGACCGGCCCGGGAACCGGTTCGTTGGGCGGTTCGGGCCACCCGGCCCGGTGGATTCTCGGTTCGGGCTCGGGCCCTTCAAAAGGTGAACCGGCCCAGCCGGTTCGGGCCCGGGCCGGGCCAATTTTATTTTTTTTTTGAATTTTTTTTGAGTTTTTGGGTTGGGCTGGTTATTTTGGGCCATTTGAGGTGGTTAGGGTTGGTTTGGGGGTGAGGGGGAGGGGTGGGGGTTAACTAGGAAAAGCCCCAAAAAAAAAAAAAAAAAAAACCCGAGGCCCGGCCCGGCCCGGACCCGGGGTTTACCCGGGCCGGTTCCGGGCCTCCCCTTCTTGAACCGAGGCTCGGCCGGGCCCGAACCGGCCCGAGTCCACTCCTAATCTTGCTCGACTTTATCTCTATCATCTGCGGTTTTAGTGATAAAGTATTTAGATTACTTTATATACAAATCACTTGTTAAGTGTTATTTTATCAGTAACTAAAATACACTTGTATACCTTCTTTTTATCCTAAAAGTTCTATCTTGTAACCCGGTTACTGTAATAAGGGTAGATAGTAAACTTTTAGGAAAACGTATTTAATACGTGACTAGAAGTGATATCCGATCCAGCCATATTTCTACACCCTTATTTTTTACTATTTTTATCCTCCAGTTATAACACATGTTAAACCTTTTTATAATGAAGAAGTTAGTGTGTAGCTGAGACAATTAAAAATTTATGTTGATCCATGACAAATCCGTTATTTCTGTAAGGTAACTATTTGAATTTGCGATTCAATGTGACTTGTGTGCATGTGATTTTAAAATATGAAAGTTTTAATTATTTATGCTAATTTAAATATTAATAAGGAATAGTTAATTTTAACCTCAATCAATAGGAGTGGACTCGGGCCGGTTCGGGCCCGGTTCGGGCCTGGGCCCGGCCGGGCCTCGGTTCAAGAAGGGGAGGCCCGGAACCGGCCCGGGTAAACCCCGGGTCCGGGCCGGGCCTCGGGTATTTTTTTTTTTTGGGGGGGGGGGGGCTTTTCCTAGTTAACCCCCACCCCTCCCCCTCACTCCCAAACCAACCCTAACCACCTCAAATGGCCCAAAATAATCAGCCCAACCCAAAATTTCAAAAAAAATTCAAAAAAAAAATTAAAATTGGCCCGGCCCGGGCCCGAACCGGCTGGGCCGGTTCACCTTTTGAAGGGCCCGAGCCCGAACCGAGAATCCACCGGGCCGGGTGGCCCGAACCGCCCAACGAACCGGTTCCCGGGCCGGGCCGGGCCCGCACAGTGGCGGGCCGGTCCGGTTCCGGGCCGGTTGGCCCGGCCCGAGTCCACCCCTATCAATCAAGTATAATAATCTTATAGGACTTTATTTTAGAACATTGGGAGCAAAAATAGTCACAAAGTCGTAACTCATTATAATGCACTGATAGTGAGAAAGCTTCAACATAATGCCGATAGTCAAGACAAAATTATTCTATTCAGACACTATTTGAGATGTAAATGTATTATTTTGAGTTTGAATTTTGAATAATAGTGCATATTTCTTCTTAGACACAACAATATTTCTTTATACCAACTATTGGAGACTATGTTATTGTGTTCAATTGCATTAATCATCTTTTTATTTGTGTAATAATAGATAATTATTTGATAGGACCATCTTTGTATTTAGGCCCGACAGTCTTTTGTAATACCATACGAAATCTAACCTTCAGATATTATATATTTGAAGACTAAGCTTATGTAACCTAACTTTGGGATTAGGCGTCCAAACGTTCGAGAGTGTAGAGAGAGCTCTCTCGTGTTTCACTGTAGCTATTGAATACGCGGTTCATCATCTTCTATAAACCCTTCTTGTATTCAATACTATCTATATTGCTCTCATCTACTATGTATTATTCCATGTAGTATCCGATTGTCGTGTAAAATGTATCAAACAATTGGTATCATAGCCACTCGTGTAACTGGTTGAATCACTCTGCAATTTTTCTTCGTCATTTTCAAGCCAAGAAAATGATTCGAAAACACATTTTGTCTACCAGTTCTTGAACTCCAAAAATATCAAAAAAAGCCTCAATTCAAAATTCTATTGTAGAAAACTTAGAAGCTAAAGTCTATGATGTAGCTAAGTGACTTACTGAACTGAAGTTGAGCGTGTTAGTCCCAAAATACTAACAATCATACAACCATAACAGTGATAAAGAAGCAGATAGAAAGAAATCGACAAGATTGAACGAAATCTGGTATACCATATGAACCTGCCGCTACTCTCCCTGGAGAAAGAGAGCAGCGGCAACCCTAATATCTCTCTATCCCGCCTCTGCGTCTCTTAGCCTCTTACGATTAATTGGGGTTCCCGTAAGTTAGCCTCCTTTTATAGGAGAAGTTGGCTAACTTACGAGTTACAAGGAAGCCCACGGGCTGATACACATTTGTGGCCCGTATTACACGATTAATTAATAACTACACAAATACAAAGATAACTAACTAGATTGAACACCATAAAATATTCCCAACAATCTCCCCCTTGGTGATCAATCGTGTTGAATCAGCATTGCAGCGCAGATATCTTTGTCTTTGTTGTTGTTGAGCTTCCTTTGTCTTTGAACTTGACTTCTGAGGAAGGCTATCTGAAGAAATCCTTGCAATCTCCCCTTTGATGTCTTCTTGACAATTTGATCTTTGATGACGGGGGTTGAGGGACCTTCAGTATCTTGCATGTAATCCTTGCCTTCCAGAAGTTGCTCTTGATCAGCTTGGATGAAGTCCGGTGACGCCTCTAGAATGAATATTCTTTGGAGAATAGGAGACGCCCATGGAATTCATCTTCAGGACACGAGTATTTGACCTATGTCTCCTCCACAATGTAGTCTTTTTGACTATTTGAAATGAATGCATTTGAGGAGAACTTGTCGGTGGCACAGCGGAACATAATGATGGTTGATTTGTGAGTGTAGCTGACCATTTGATTTGAGTTGCGGAGATAGTAGAGAGGGTGTTGAATTTTGGGATGGAGGAGTGAAGTGTCCCAGAATGATTTGTTCAGTGTTAACAACATGTGGACCACTCTCCCCCTCATGACGATCCGATAACTCGGGGCGTCATGCCTTTATTCTTTTATTCTGCAGAAATAAAAACAGGAAAAACAAGCAGAATGTAAAGAAGATAACGTAGCCCCCCGGGGTCGTGAAGACGCCCGTTATCATCACTATAGAGATAAACTCTAAAGCAATGGCCTGAAAATGTTAATCACAAACTTCTTTTGACCTTCAAGAGGAAAGAGGTAGATTTTACTCAAAGAGTTAGAGGATTTGCTTGGTAAAAGAGACCAAATTGATAAATTCTCTCTCTTAATCAGCCCAAAGTCACTGCCTTCTACAATCCTAAGGAAGGCGTGAGATTCCAAAATCCATTTAAATTAAAGTCACTTCCATTCAATGGTATGACATTAATTACAAGGGTTTAGGTTTAACCAAACTGATGCCTTTTACATGAGCGTTATAAATCAATGTCCTTGAACAGGAGAAAAGAGATTAAGGCAAGTCTTAATTCTCTTTTGACTATTCAGAATTGAATGACAGTTATAAGGCATGAGAAATCCCCTTGTCTACTAACTATAATTCAATCTATAATAGTCTCGAGAGTGAGATTTTGTTTGTGCGGGATGAACCATCTACTTCTGAAAACCTCAAAACTGATAATATTTACATGCCAGAGATCATACGCAAAGTTGCGGGCTTGCACAAATCTTTGAAAATAGAAATAGATGTTTTCAAAGAAGAAAAGAACCACTTTTAAAAGAGATACCTTTGCTAAAAAATTCTCGAGTATGTATACATGTTTTACCACCTCTTATGTTTTAAAGGTTAAACATTCTAACTTCTAAACCTCCCTCTAAACATGTTAATACAGTAGACCCATCTTCTTGCTCACATTCTGAAAAGTCAAAAGAAAATGTTTTTAAGAAATGTCATGAGAAGAGGATGTCTTGGGTATTAAAACAAATTCAATGGAAAACTGCAAGATTTAAGAAGTTCTCTCAAAAATAAAAAGACAGCGTGATGTCTCTAAGTCTTGTAGTACTTTTAAACAGAGCTATTCAAGTTCAAGCACTTAGTCATTTAGTTCTATAACTGACCATTTTTCTAAGTTTTCTTCCGAGGGGTCTAGATCTGTGAAATCTAACTCTGGTGCTAAGGTTAAATCACCTATAAAGCTTAATTTTTTTCTCAATGCTTCTATCCATCATTGTGATGTGAATGATGACAAATCTCAACAAAAGATAATTAAAGCTTCTACCTATACAATTTGTGAAGATGTTTGCCTAACATATCACATCAAAGTTTATTCAGCTAAACATCTGAAACGATCATCTAGAAAGAAAATCTGTATTTCTTGTAAATTTGCCCCATCACTCACCTGTCCTAAAACTTCTAATGCTAAAAGAAATTAGAATCCCAAACATATAGCTCCAAAAAATCATCAAAAGATTATGGTTTAGGAACAAAAATAAAAAAAATATTTCATAATTTGTTTTATGTAAAAAGGGACGGATGCATTCTGAAATGAGTACCGAAGGTTTCTTAACCTTGTTTTATAGGCCTGTCACGGCGTACATGGTCTGATTGCTCCGCACACATGGCGGGAAGGCGAGCTCCTGAGCAATCAACTCTTTCATATTCTAAGAATGAGTGTTTCTTTTTCACTCATCTTGGTTCCAAACAACGAAGAAAGCACATTCCTAAGGAGAGTTTTCTACTTTACTCCTCGGGTGAAAAACACCACCACTTATCTTGCAACTTCTAGGGAGGATTTATTTTTTCTCCTCCTTGGTGCTAAACAACGACGGATACAAGGTTTATAAATGATGCATACTTTGAGGGGGAGTTTCATTCCCCCGTGTCAAACAACGAACAATGCAAGAAAAACTCAACTCAGCCTACCCAAGAGAGAAAGCCGAGAGTGAGTGAACATTGTGAGAGTGAAGAAGTAGAACACTCAGTGAGCAAGAAAACAAATAATCAATGACATGTCTGTAACCTCATGATTTAAAAATGAGCATTTGTCTCATCAACTTCCGAAAAACCGCTTCTAGAAGAAATTTGGAGTATTCAGAAGTATTTGTGAACTTTGGCCCAAATACCCCGATATGTGTATTTGTTCCTAAATAAGTAGTGAAAAATGCGTGGTGTACACAAAATTTGTACACCTTTTCTGTACACTTGTCTGTCCCACGCAGACAACTCTTAACAAATTTTGTGTACACCTAGTAGGGAGTGCTCAGTAGAAATAGTTTCAAGAAGATCCAATCACCCCAAGAATCTTATGGATTTCGTAATTTATTTTTAACTGGATTAAATAAATAGCTTAATACGTACTCGGTACTACGTAATATATTTGGTAATGCAATGGCTTGTACAGTTTGAGTCCCCCGCACGAAATCATCATACCAAATATGTCCAACTTCAAGTGCAACCGATGGCATTTTTAATCATCTTCCAATGTTTTCGAACTTTGGCACTTAGAAATCTTCACTCTGAATCTCGAGTCTCACCCGCTCTTTTAGGAAGCGGAAGATTGCAATCATTTTAAAATCTGCAAGAAGCAGCCATTAATTCACGATTTCGAACCTTTAATACAGGTAAAACTAGTTTTTTTTCTTGTAACGAATTCTGTGTTCAGCTCATCTGCCGTTGATCGGATTTTGGTGAGGCGATTTTGGATTTACTTTTTATCCGGTTTTTTTATAAAAGAAGCTGTGTTTTTGTCCAAATTCTAACGCGCTCTATGCTTTTTCTACTAATTTAATCCATCATATCTTTGTATTTGAAGGATGTTTTCGTTTTAGCACATTGGAGCTGTGTGTACCGACTTCTTCTTTTGAAAGCTTCTTTATCCCTATTAGCAGTTGGTTTCAGCTGTATGGACGGTCGAAATAGTATTGCTCGAGAGCCAAGCCCACCATCCACGGTATATTTTATTGTTTTTTCCATATGCCGTCTCAGGTTACAGTTCATTTTCATTATGAAATGAGTTACGAAATCTCCTTTTAGAATTCAAGTATCTTGATTAGTATAAGAGCTTAAATTTGGAAATCCTCGAATTAGAAATAAGAATTCAGTTGCTTATACGTTCAAATTTCCATCGATCAATTCTGGAATCATATATACTTCTGCCATGTGGTGTACGTATTTGATTTTGACATTATATGTTCCTTCCCTTCTTAATGATACTAGTTATTGATGACATAGACCTGATATGTCCAATCTCTTTCTGGTCAGTTTCACTTTAATATGTACCACCTCAATCAGCCACAAATGGTAGGTTGGGGGGGCGGGCTTAGAGAGTTCATGTTGTGGGGGTCAAAGCTTAAAATTTTAGTAGAATTTTTATTACCTATAAATATTTGTACATATGTATATACATCACCAATTTTTTCTTGGGGGGCCTCCATTAGCCTCCCCGTGTCTCCGGACCGACCTCAATCCTTCATGGGTAGAGGTGGCTACTTAGCTTCTTTCTTGGATTGGTACTGTTCCCACTAAGGATGTTTTTACTTGGATTGGAATTTTGTGGTCGGGTAAATGTTTGGTCTTTGTGTATTTTATAACGGTCCAAGTTTAGTCTGGTCTGGGATCGAAAACAATCCAAGAACAAACATCCTAATCAACACATATACTTTGAGTTCACTCTTGTGTGAGACACATTCGAGGAGGTCACAAGACTACTCACTTGCGAAAACGCTCAACAGTGGAGTTTATAGCAACTGCAGTCTGGCACCCACCGCACCCTTAAAAGAAGTTTGTATTAAATATAGCGTGTTTTTTTTCTTCTGAACTTCATCTTAATCCTTTCAAATCCTTTTTCCTTTATGAGACTGGCACCCACCACATGTGTTTCCGGCGCACGTTGAGTTCACTCTTGTGTGAGAAACATTCGAGGAGGTCACAAGACTACTCGCAAAAACGCTTAACAGTGGAGTTTATAGCAACTGGCACCCGCCGCACCCTTAAAAGAAGTTTGTATTAAATATAGCTTGTATTTTTTCTTCTGAACTTCATCTTAATCCTTTCAAATCCTTTTCCCTTTTTGCGATGCTCCTTAAGTTTGGCTGTATGGGCTCTTCACCCCTTAGATCATAATTTCTTTCCCTTTTCATTTCCAATCAACAGAAGGCAAATGATCATTCAGAGGTTCATAACCCACCTTTATTTTTCCATTAGTTGCATTTTGCTACATCAGCTAATGGGATCAAAGTGATGTCAATGCATTAACATTTGACACACTCCCTTTAATCATTTGACATTTGCTCTTCCTATGCAACCAACATGGTGTCGCTCTATGTTTATAATTATGTGGTTTATTTATCTAGTGTAATTAAAGGTTTAGGTTTTCTTATTCCGTAGAAATTTTCTTGTTAGCGAACTACTATTGAGATCACAACATTTTAAATTTTTGTCCAGGGAAATGATGCTTCTGTTAGCAATGACCATGTTTTCCCTCAACTCTTCACTTCCTTGCCAAGGCTTAATGAAGCAGCATCTTATCTTGCAGAAACAACTTCTCTGTTGACAAGTTGTCTCCCTGATATTTCCGGTGAGGATTCTTGTAGCATTCTATCTTTTCTCAGGTGGTAATATGTGTTGACATTGGTAGCTTGTGTTTCTTTCTATTGATACTAAGTTGGAAATGTCTCAAAAATTTCTAAATTTTCACATTATCTTGAATCCAAGGCAGGTATTTGACAACACTCAATTTTGCTTCCAGTTCTTCTAGTCTACTTTTGCCCTACCACTTGCACTATTTCATGTTAAGTACTACCTCTGTCCCAAAAAATTCTTCCCATTTCTCTTTTTGGAAAGGTTTATATGGCTACCATTCATTTACCTTTTTCTTACTCAACCACAACCATACATTTTCACTTTATTCCCACTTTCTTAAACTCCGATCCAAGTCAAACCGGGAAGAATTTTCCGGGACGGAGGGAGTAACATATTATTTTCTTCCTTCCTTGCAATTGCTACCCGGAGTCTTGAACCTCTTCCTCTCTCCTAATCATGGATTTCTTGATAGCAATAAACGTATATATAATACATAACAATAATTTACTATGATAAATTGATACATTAGGCTTGGGTGTTGGAAGCTCTGATGGACATAAAGTGGTGGCATTTGGTTCTAGAAAATCTGCAGGAACTGGTTGCAGCATGGCATTGCCATCTTCAGAATCATCTCATGAAGCAATTTATGCTCCACTCGTGCATGAAGAAATAACTAGGAGTTCATCTGAATCAGAAACCGAGCCATTGTTAGATTCTAGTGAAATTCTTCCATCAGTGCAGTCAAATCGAAATGGGGTGTCTGTTTTCCAAGGGTATATAGCATCTTGAGCTCTTATGCTGCAAATTTTAGGATGTTTTTATTTGGACTAGAATTGTCTTGTCTTGTCTATTTAAGTCTGGTCTGGTAAATGTTTGTTGTATGTGGTTTTTGGTAAATGTCTGTTGTATGTGGTTTTTACTATTGATCAAGTCTGGCCTAATCTAGTCTTTGTAAGCGTGGTCTGATCAGATTTGTTTAAGTCTGGTCTGGTATGAGACTGAAATCAGTCCAATTAAAAACATCTTTAATGTGAAAGCTGGAACCGTTTAATAGTATAAACCACCCCAATGTTATTTCTGGGTCAATGTGGCACACTGCGACTTATTTTCGACGGATGGACCCTGTCTAAATGCTCTATTTTCACTGTTCAAACATCTATCTACTTATAGCTGCCAAGAATTAAATTATTGAAGCTATGAATCACTGCGACTTATTTTCGACGGATGGACCTTTCTAAATGCTCTATTTTCACTGTTTGAACATCTATCTACTTATACCTGTCAAGAATAACATTATTGAAGCTATGAATCCTTGATTTTTCCTATGTATTTTAACAAAATACTCTAATTTGCAATAGTAATCTATTAATTCAATGTTTCTTTCCATTTCCAGTCTGAGTCTTTTAAGTCACTGATCACAACTGATTTTTTAACTTCCCAAAATTAAAATGCTCGAAAATTGCTTGTAAATGAATTTGAAGATTCATTCATGATTGGAATTCTCTTCTTATCTCTCCTTGCTGGCACGCTCTGCTACAGAAGTGATTAATCTTATTTATTTTGTATCTGCAGTCTTATTGAAAGAGTACAGAGGACAGTTCGTGGCTCGGCTGATGATATTGGATGGATGCAACGCTATCCAGAAATGCCTCCTGTCGAAGATGGGACTCTTCGGTGTTTGGAGATTATCGATGCTATTAGGTATTAAGCTTCTTGTGGAACTTATTTTGGTGGCTGCCTCTGGAATTTAATTGAAGATTATTGACCACCTTTTCCTTCTTCATCAGGCATGGTGTGCACAGGTTGCCAAACTCAGTGGTATATTTGCTGGTACCAGGTAGCAATATGCGCGCACACACACACACATGGGCACCAATTAAAATAAAGTTATCAACATGATTTTTTGTAGCTTCCCATATAAGTTTTTTATTGTCATGAATGTATTCAGCGTTTATAATTTTATATACATTGTCTTTTCTTGAACCTGAGCTTGAGGCTATGCTTGAACCCAGGAGATGATTGGGAAAGGGAAAAAGACTAAGAAAATGGTTTTATGATGTTTGGTTTTTCCTTGGGAAATGCACAGGAAATTAAATTTTGATAACAACTTTTTACAATTTTAGATATATTAGATTTCATAATCTTTATAAAATAGAACCATTTTGATCAAATGAGCTCGTACAAATATCTAAAGAAAGCGTTGTGAATTTGAAGCAATATTTTATTCACCCCACATTTTCTTTCTTATCATATTTCCTCAATATATTCCTCTCTATTTTTTCTCCAGCATTACCGAGTACCAAACAAACTCTAAGTCAACAAATAACTTGTTTCATCACTCATTTGTCTAACTTGATGAGGGTACCCACTTCATGATGGCGGCAATAATTGTAAGAAAGAGGGAACGTGATGCTGGTTTGTTTTGTATGATGTTAGATTGTTAGTATTGAGTAGCTATTTAGCACCGATACAGAAATGTGGAAACACAGTAGCATATATAGTGATACGCAAAACAATAAAATATAAGTACGAGTACGGGGTGTATTTATAAATATCAAAATTTATATGGACTTACTCAAAAAAATATACGTAGTATATTTTTCAATAAATATTAAATACTAGTATATAAACTGTACTTGTAAATTTGTAATTGTAATTATAAATTTACATACGATAGTATATTCCTATGATTGAGAATTTGAGATAAACAAACTTCAAAAGTAAGTTATGTACAAAAGAGACATTTTTTTTGAGTTAACCAAAAATGGGACTAATTATGCCCTAAAACACCGTGGGACAGTGAGCCAGGTGCCCCAGTGACCAGCCACCAGTGACCTATTTTTTTCCATTAACATAACGCCCTGGTGACCTGTCACCGATTATGGCCACAGTGACGCGCCAACAGTGACTAGGCTGTGCATCTAGTGACCTTGATACACAGTGACACCTTATCACCTTCCGGTGCTCTAGCTACCCCGGCAATACAGTGGCCAGTCACAATAATGACTTCACCGCCCTGGCCAGTAACCAGCCGCTGCTACAATCCCCCTACACCCATCCATCCCCGTCAGCCTACTCACTCCCCAACCCTGGCCTCAACCATGCCCCCCAGACCCATCAAAGCACCAGCACGGTCCACTAGCTCTTTCAATGCCCCCACAGACCCATCATTGGCCTGCGTGTGACAATACCCGCTGCTGCTGACCCTACCCAATGACCCAAGTCATCTCCCTTTCTTGAGTGCCTCGAGTCTCCACCATTTCGCAAATCTGTGAACCCCAGCAGCAAACACAGGCCTACTAGGGCCGGCTCGTCATCGCCGCCAATGTCTACCCCCTAGCTGCCAAATCCTAGCCGCCTCTTCTAGCCATCGTCACTGGCATTCACTTTAACCATAAAAAATCAGATGGAAGCAACGATCGCTGAACGAGAAGAAGAAAGGAGGAGAAGAAGAGTAAAATGAAGATCCTAGACGACGGCAATAGTGCAGCTGGACTGTGGTGGCTGGGCACTTGGGCGATGGTGAAGGCGATGACGACATTGGTTGGCGGTGACAATGGCGACACAAGAGTGGAAATTGGAGGGATGAGCGGCGATGGAAGCCGATGGGTAAGGTGAGCGGCGATGGAAGCTGATGGGTAAGGTGAGTGGCGACGGAAGCCAATGGGTGAGGTGAGCTGCGATGGTCTCTGGAAAAGTGCAGTTGGTGCAGATCTGTGAGGAAAATTTAGGTTAAATTTTGATATTTATATAAGGGTGTTTCAGTTAATTTAGTTCCTATAAGATCTTTTGTTTGCCCAAATGAGAAAAGTAGTCCTATAGTCGTTCATGGCAAATACTAGACTAGATAGTGAAGTCTGTTGAGAGACATGTGCGAAGATTAGTTTTTTTTTTGTTTACCTTTGTTGTTACATTAAAAAAATTTATGCGTGTATCCGCCTGGAGTATCTGATTTTATAAAAAATACAATCTTTTGAATTTTTAAAAATGAGATACTCCTCAGAACGTATGGTACATGTATTCTAAAGTATCCAATACTCAGAATACGGTAAATGTTACATTTTGGCCCTTCAACTATTATCATTTTACACATTTAGTCCTTCCTCTATGATTTTGCCACAATAAATTGACCACCAAAAGTGTCATTATGATAATGGTTAAAGGACCAAAATTGTAACATTTACAATAATCAGAGGACCAAATGTGGAAAAATCAGAGTGGAGAACCAAAAGTTTTTCTCTAACAATGGTCGAAAGACTCAAATTGGAATAATTCAAAAGTCGAGTACCAAAAGTGATTGACACAGTATCCGAGGGACTAAAAGTGGCTAAACTTGTTATCTATATGTGGATACGGTGCGCCAATCAAGTATCTGTGCTACATAGCTTAGTAGTGTTTATTAGTGAAATATCTTTTCTGATAGTTCGGATTTTGACATGTCAAATCTTCACTGATCTTAATCTTCAGGCCTTTTCAGCAACCATGGACCACTTTACTTTGTTAATACAAAAACAAGTTTCTCGAAAATGGGGCTAACTTGTCATATTGCTAAAATTCACAGTGAGGTATGGCATCAACAATCCTTTTTTCCTGAAGGCAGTATTATACAAGTACTATTTTTTGTATTACAACATGTTCTTTTCTCAGGCCTCTGTTGAGAAAAATGCCAGAGAGATAAAAGACTATATTGAGGAAATGTTCTGGGGCTCCGGGAAACAAGTTATGCTTCTTGGACACAGCAAAGGGGGGATAGATGCTGCTGCTGCTCTATCCATACATTGGACTGATTTGAAAGATAAGGTTGCAGGGTTGGTGTTTGCTCAGAGTCCATATGGTGGTAGTCCTATTGCTTCAGACATACTGCGACAAGGGCAGCTTGGTGATTATGTTAATGTCCGCAAACTTATGGAGATCCTCATCTGTAGAGTAATCAAGGTATCTGTCAAAGGAAGCTGTATTCTTTCCTTTCTGATAATTTATGCTATATTTCACACATCACTTGATCTTAGTTTTGTATACCATAACATATGAGTATGTTTGGGACTACTTATAATCTAGATTATATAGACTGTCTTTTAGATTATAAGCTGTTTTAAGAAAACAACAACAACAACATCCCAGAAGAATTTGGGGTCGGCTAACAACTTAAGATTATTTTGTTTTAAGAAAACCAAAATAAACAATTTTTATGAATCTGGAAATCTGTAGTTCATGATTATTTTTGAACAGCTTATTTTTTTAATGCAGAAATTTCATAGAACAGGCATTCTGTTCACAACCCAAATGAATAATTATTTTCTAACTTGTATCAGCAAAATCACTTAAACAAAAATTGTTTTAGATTGTAATCTATAACTAGTGGCGTATCCAGAAACTTTTGTGAGTGGGGGGGTGAACTTACGCTAGAACTTAGTCACATATTTCACAAATAGCGATTCAAATTACTAATATTATTTGATTAGATTTAGTTTAAGATATATATGTACAAGTATGTATAAAAGAAGATCAATTTATATTACATGTGTGCAACGATGCAATTGTAGCTACAATTTGAGAAAATTACCTAAATAGAAGTTAAATATAATAAAATTTAGTGGTTATTTTTTTATTTTTTAATCAGATTACATAAATCTTTTCATCATTTGCAATGTAGCCAAAGACTCACTATTTTTGGCTTGAGAATATGATGAAATAAAGCAAAACATCTCACTAAACTGTCTTCCCAAATTTTGACGCAAATTGTACTATGGGTCATTCGGAAACAATATCTCTGCTTTAGTACAAGGGTAAGACTTCACACATCCGATCCCTCGTACCCCCACCGTAGGTGGAAGCCTTTGCGGCACTGGGGTGATGATGATGATGAATAAGATTACATAAATCATATATTCAGGAAAGAAAAAGAAAACTCTATTAATCCTATTTTAGAATTTTCCCTATGTTTAACTCTTATTATGAGTATCATGCTTAACGTGAGAACGTGATTACCATGAACGTTTAACACAGTTTGGTGCACTATGAGGCTCATCTATTATTGCACTTTTTAAACTTTGGTCAAAACGTGCCAACTTTAAATAAATGTGGAGGCAGATTCGTAATTAGTTGGTTAACACGAAAATGTGCAAGATATAAACGATATTTTGCATCACATTTGCTTAAAAGTGGAAATCTCACGTTCTCACGTTAAGTATGGTTCTCATTTGATCCTATATATATATAGAAAAGATCAGGCGAGAAGTGCCCCTTAAAATGAGAAGTGAGAAGTAATCTAAGCCCTTGGATTTGCATGTGATCTTGCAACGCATTAAACTTATAGACTGAATTTAGGAACTTATAACCAACAAATCATAACTTATAAAGCTCTCCATCATAATTACGAAAATGCCACCGCGTCCAAAAATTTTCAAGGTTTCCAGACTTATTTTTTGCGGTGGCATTTTCGTAATTATTTTCGACGGAGTCTATAAGTTATGATTTATTGGTTAAAAGTTCGTGTTTTTAGTCTATTAGTTAAACTTCGCAGTTCTCAGCCTAAGAGCACTTCTCACCCGATCCCCTCCTTATATATATATATATATATATATATATATAGTAGCGATCCTGTCCGGCCGGCCTGGCAGGATTCGCCGTCCGGCCGAGGGCATTTGAGGTCCTTCCCGGTGGAATTTGAGGTCCTTCCCACCAAATTTCAGCTAAAAATTCAACCGGAAAGGCATTTAAATAATTTCTCTACGGAAACTGCGCTGTTTTTGTATATATAAACCACAATTTTTGTAAGGAATTTATTTAAGTTTCTTCCCGATTGAATTTGTAGCTGAAATTTGGTGGGGGTAAACTAGATTTGATGAAGAACATGCTCAAAAAGTTTCATCAAAAAATTTCACCGGCCTGATACGGTATTCCTCTCTCTATATATAGGCATGATTCTGTCCAGCCAGATGGACCCGCCGACCAGCCACCGCCGTTTAGGGCGGTTCCCGCTACAATTTTTGGATAGAGTTTTTTGAGAATGTGCTTCATGAAGTCTAGTTTATACCTATCAAATTTGAGCTAAAAATTCAGTTGAAAAGACAGTCAAATAATTTTTTGAACATACCTGTGCCAAGATATACATATAAAACACAATCATTTTCAAAAAATTATTTCATTGCTTTCCTGATTGAATTTTTAGTTGAAATGTGGTGGACATAATCTTCACTTCATGAAGAATGTATTCAAAATGTTTCATCAAAAAATTCCACCGGGAACCGCCCCAAACGGCGGAGGCCGACTAGAGCATCCTGTCCGGAAGGATGAACATGATCTTTTTCCTATATATATATATATATATATATATATATATATATAGTGAGAGGTTCCTGTGAGAAGACTTAGGAGAGAAATGGGAATGAACCTGAACCGTTAGATTGTATTATGTGAAATTGAATTGTGCATTGGTGAAATTGAAATGTACGTTAGGTGAAATTGAAATGTGCAGAATAAAAGGTACTCCCTTTGTCCCAATTTGATTTGCAAAATTTCCTATTTTAGTTGTTTCAAAATTTCCTATAAATAAGAATAAAGTGATAAATTTACCCTTACTTTTACTTTTTTTCCCATTAACTTAAAGACATCTACTTTTAGGAAGATGGACAAAAGTGTAGAAAGCAAACATCGTTTATTGTCATTTCTTAATCCTTGTGCCAGTCAAAGTTTGCAATTCAATTCAGGACGGAGGGAGTATAACTCAAATGTGCATTACAGGAAATTGAAATGTGTAGAATAAAGGCACAAAAATGCCACCACATCGTAGCTTTTATTCAACACATTTCAGGTTCTCCTAATGCACAATTCAGTCTCACATATAATGCTCCTTTGTCGTACCTTTTGTACTGTGTATTTTGACTTCATCTAATATACATTTCAGTTTCAACTAATGCACATTCGATTTCACCGAATACAATCTAACGGTCCTAATTCATTCCCATTTCTCTCCTAAGATCATTTTTTTCATTTGAACCTAAGTAAAAATGAAAAGTGCTAAAAATGTGATGCAAGACGCGGTGGCATTTCCGTAATTAGTCAGAACTTTTCTGCCATCGTAAAAGGTGCTCCAGATTTGCAAAAAAGTTCATCAAATTTCCCATTTCTCACGTTAAAATGTCTTCTTGTTAGAACTCAATCCTATATTATACACACACATATACATATAGGGGCTAGGTTAGGGTTAATCATATATAAATATATACTCCCTCCGTTTCTGAAACAAGTTCCACCTTTCCTTTTCGGGCAGATTCAAAATTAAGTTCCACTTTCAAACATTTCCTTATTTGGCAAATTATCTACATCGAAACAGTGTCAAACAGTGCCAAACAGTGTCAAACAGTGCCAAACAGTGTTCAAACAGTGCCAAACAGTGCACTCCACAGTAAAGTCAAATTTATTTTCTTAATATGTGTGAAGTCAAATGTGGAACTTGTTTCAGAAACGGAGGGAGTATGAAAGAGATCAAATACAAACACTTCATAATTTACACATTACAAACTCATTTTGACCATCCGATGAGTTGATCTAAAGACTATTGATACACGGTGACATTTTGGTAATAAAACAATTTTTTTATGCAACACTTTGAATGTTATTATGCAACTTCTTATTTTATTGCAGAATAATATGTAATACTTTGAACGTTAATATGCAATACTGATAGCGTAAAGATGCATCGTATAAATATTTGCACCCCCTATGTATATGGGCTTGGTTCAGGTTGAGGGGGCAGCAGCCCCACTACCCCACAGTGGACAGACCACGGTCTATAACAACAATAATTAATTATACAGCTTCACGATTATTGGAATAATTGATTGTTTCAGCTATTCCTACAAGCTCATAATATGGTCGCCCTTTGCTTTCTGAAAACTCTAATTTTGGCAGTTCTGCTGTAGGGAGACTTGCAAGCACTAGAAGACTTGACATATGAAAAGAGGAAGGAATTCTTGAAGAAACACCCACTGCCAAGAGAACTCCCGACCGTCTCTTTCCACACAGAGGCCGGCATATCTCCTGCAGTTTTGGCCTCACTATCCCGCGTTGCACATGCGGAATTGCCTACATTTTCTATGGGCAGCCAGTCTGCAACACTTCCAGTGGTGATGCCGCTCGGTGCTGCAATGGCAGCTTGTGCCCAGCTGCTTCAGATCAGGTACGGTGAGAAGAGTGATGGGCTTGTGACTTGCCGTGATGCAGAAGTTCCAGGTTCTGTTGTTGTAAGGCCAAAACGTAAACTTGACCATGCTTGGATGGTGTATTCATCACTCAATGATGACCCGTCATCATCTGAAGCAGATGCTTCTCAGGTTTGTGAAGCCCTTCTTACGTTACTGGTGGAGGTTGGACTGAGAAAAAGGCAGGAACTAGCAAATAAGGATGAATGAAGAAGCATGTGCACATAATGGTGGTCCTCTTCAACTGCATGCCTTTGTTTTTGGAAATTATATACAAACTACTAGATTCACTTTTATTCACGAGACTACTATTAGAATGCTCCCGGGCTTAAGAGTTAGAATTTTGTCGTGGATGCTTCTCCGATGCCCCCAAGTCCTAACACTCTCAGAAGTTGGGACAAATGTAGATAAGCTCCGGATGCTCTACTTTTGAGGTCAAGTTTGAACTGGAGTTCTTGATACTGAGATGGTATGAACTTCAATCCTGTGTAACAGTTGGACTTCATTGAGATTATACTTTACATATATTTTTATCGATAATAAGAGCAATTGCTATACTGTGGGAGCAGCCAATGGTAAGCATGTTGCTCTCACAGGAAAAAGCGCGTGAACAACAATTTTTTTTTCATTGTTCAGGAGCGCAATGATGTAACTCGTGTGTAAAGAAATGTAACCCACGTTGAAAAGAAATGCAACTCCAGACAAGTCAAAATGCAACTTATCTAATACGAATAATAAGAAATAAAATATTGTTTTCAATAAAAAAAGAGTCCTATTGCTTAATTACTTTACCTAAATAGTGAATATGTTTTGTTATTATTATTATCAAAAACATAAAAAATGTTTTTTAAAAATTATATTTTGCTAATTTTTTTTATACCAAAAAATGATTGAATTAATAATACTCATTTTTTAGTAAAAAATGTTTTTTGTGTAGGGGTTTATTTTGTGATGTAACACGTGTTATGAGATATGTAATTCGTGTTGATGGAAAATTTAACTTACAGGTATGAGAAATGTAAATGACGTTGATGGAAAATCTTGTGATTTTATTTCCTCTTCTTTTTCTTTTATCGTTTATCTTCATTATTTTTATGTTCTTATGTTGTTTTGATGTCCTATCTTTTTAAAGCCTTTTTATCCCTTTATCTTCTATCTTTCTTATATTTTTATGTTATTGTTATCTTATATTTATCTTTATCTTATTCATTTTATGTTATTTTATTTTGCCTTATCTTTCTTCTTCTTTTAGCATTGATATTATTGATCGATTCATGTTAGTCGACTCCAAATTGCTTTTGGATTAAGGCTTGGATGTTGTTTTTGTATGCAAAATATAACTTGTTAAGACAAGTTTAAATGTAACTCGCGCATAGGAAGATCTAACTCACGCATAAAAAAGATGTAATTCACTCATAAGAAGATCTAACCTTATATACTCCATCCGTCCCGTTGGAATGTTCCCGCTTTCCTTTTTTGGATGTCCCGTTGGAAAGTTCCCATTTCCCTAAATGGAAAGTTATCCTACATCAAAACAGGGTCAAACAGCGCAAAACAGTGTCAAACAGTGTCGAAACAGTGCCAAACAGTGTCGAAATAATGTCAAAACAGTAAAATTTACCCCATGGTAAGTTTATTTCCTTAATATGTGTGTAGGTCAAACCGGGAACATTCCAACGGGACGGAGGGAGTGCTATTTAGTATCAAATGTAAACAATGAAAACAAGGAGTCTAATGACTTAATTAGTTAAAGTAAATGGTTAATTTGTTTTTTTAGTATTAAGGTCATAAAAATGTTTTACATGAAAAGTAATCTTTTTTGTTTGCCGTAGCGTTGGGTGAAAAGAAAATTAATTGTACAATTGACTGAATTGAAACGTTAGGATGACTAGCGTTCATATTCACCTAGGGATGGTTTCGGTTCGGGCCACCCGGCCCGTGACCCGGCCCGGCCCGGCCCGTGACCCGGCCCGGCCCGGCCCGGTACTGTGCGGGCCCGGGACCGGCCCGGTTCGGGCGGTCCGGGACCGGGTATGGGCCCGAACCGGTGGGAAGGGCGGGGCGGGCTCGGTTCAGCATTTTTGTGACCCGGCCCGGCCGGGTCGGGCCCGGGCCCGGGTCCGGTCCAATTTTTTTTTTTAAAAATATTTTTTGTTTGGGCTCCTACTAGCCGTTGGGGGTGGGGCTGGGGACAACCCAAACGGCTATATAGCCGTTGGGTGGGGTAAAGGGGGGGTCCGGGGGGGGGGGGTTGGGTGGTGGGGGGGTTGGTGGGGGGGGGGTGGGGGGTAAAAAAAAACCTATAAATACTCCTAATCTTAAACATTTTTTCATATCTCTTCTCCAATTCTTCCTATTCTTATCTCTCTACTCTCTAATTCTCTTATTCTCCAATATATTATATATCTACTCTCATATTCTCTTCTCCAAGAAGTTAAGATGGAAAATCAAAATGCCATTATACGGTATAATTTTGATAAGCAGAAGGACCCGAAGACCGGGATGTGGTACGCAATTTGCAAATGGTGCGAAAAAAAATGTATAATGGGGGCTTCAGGCGGATTCGGGATGACAATCAAGCATATGAAGTCATGTGACAAAGCCAAAGGATCGGGAGGTGCAGGAAGTTCCGATTGATTACAATTTTCAAAATGTTTATCTCTTATATGTAGTTCCTATTTCATTTCAAATAAATGCAATTGAAGTTTGTTTTTAATACTCGTATAAAACTATAAACTATAAATATAAATTTAAAAAAAAAAAATAACCGGCCCGGCCCGAACCGGACCCGACCCGTGACCCGGGCGGGTGGCCCGGCCCGAACCGGACCCGTCCAACCCGCGGGCCGGTCCCGGGCCCACTTTTCTTGAACCGGCGGCCCGACCGGGCCTAGGCCCGGCCCGGGCCCGACCCGGCCCGAATCCATCACTATATTCACCCCTCCTTTTTGAGATCCAACCCACTTAAGCTATTTTACCAAACAAGGTTACTTTAAAATTAATTGACTGGATTTCAAATATTTCAGCTCATTTTGAACTTATTTGGATGACCGAACATAGCCTTAAGCCAATCCTAGTCAAGTAATTCACATCAGCCTTATATTCAATTTTTAAAAGACAGTCAGACGTACGCTGAAACAGAGATTAAGAGGTTGTCACCAGGTCGTTAGGACTCATCCAATTTCTTTTTGTAAGTAGACGTATTTATATGACACTTATTGAGTACATGGCTTTACGTAACGATTTCATAATAGTGGAAGACCTCATTTGACCCTTTTTTCAAAAATAAATTCTCCAAAAGCGTACATTCTATGTGGAGAATTTATTTTTACATTCTCCACGAGGGGTACATTCTACCCCTCATGGAGTCGCTACCCTTCAACGACACGGGCACACGGCCCCTACAGCCCTATGGTGTGACTTTTGTTACATTAGATGAGACCTCTGCCACATGTGGAGGCACCCCTAGCTCCATCAAGTAATATATATTATACGTGTTAAAATAATAATGATAATTTTGTATAAAACTAAACTTTTAGAGTATAAATAAAATTACTCCGTATGATATTTTCATATGAAATTATAACATAACGAGTTAAAATGACAATAAAACCAAATGTGAAATATGAGAGAGGAGAGATATAAAAAAGTCAGACATATAAGTAATATTCTCAACTTGAAAAAGTTGGTGCCATTAAAATTTTCATACAACAACAACATCCAAGCATTAAAATTTTCATGAGTAAAAAATTTTGAATTATAAATACCGTTTATTCAAACTACTATATATAGAAATTGTCCAATATAGGAGTAAACATAAAAATAATTGCACAAATAGGAGTAAAATGATAGGCACTAGTTGTTAGTGCTTAAGTGTACATTTTTATTATCATTTGTAATATCTATTTACTAGTATTGTGCAAGTTTATAGTTGTTAGTTTGCATTTGATTGTAATCGTATTTCTAGCATTTTATTGTTTGTTGTAAGTTGTAGTTAGTTTGGCTATAAGTTTAGGATAGGTTTGGAAGCAAAAAGGATGAAGAAACCTGAGTTTTGTGCAAAACCCGGTCGGGTATGGACTTTACCCGGCCGGGTATGAAGTGACAAAGGAAACTGCTGCAAAACTAGCAAATACTCGGTCGGGTATTCCATATACCCGGTCGGGTATTCTGTGATTTCGGACCAAAGAACGTGCAGAAGACACAAAAACATGGGAAAATATTTGATTTGGTAAATACCCGGTCGGGTATGTCAAAATACCCGGCCGGGTATCCGGCATTAGGTGTTGAAAACACCTATAAATAGCCCCATTTTCTTTCACATTTCAGCATCCTTTCTTCCATACTCTTTAGCTCAGTTTAGAATATCATTTCTTTATATTTTTCTAGCTATGTTTAGTCTTAAACTTAAAACTTCCTTCAATTGAAGTAAACACAAATTTTCTACCCTTAATACCCCTAACCTAATTAATTCTAAAATATGACTTATTTGATCCTATTAAAATACAAAAAATTCTAAAATATTTTTTTAAAAAATATTAAAATAATAAAAAATTTAAAAATTGTTTTTTTTAAATAAAAGACTTCAAAAATAAATAAAAAATAGATAACCATTTAAAAAATAAAATAAAATTATGCAGACCTTTCCTGCAGCCTCAACCATCACCCAGCAATGCCACACCCGATCGGTGAAAAAATGTAATTTTATGTTAGAACTGTCATTTTTCTTTGAAAATGCCATAAAATGACAGTTTATGTGTGAAATTATTTTCAAATTAATTTCCAAAAAAGAAATAAGAATTAAGGCATTTCAAGATCCAAAATAATCAGAAAAAGTAATATGGAGTAAATTTTGTTAAAATAAATTAACGGAAATCAATAAAAAAGAATGAGGAGTGTCAAAAGTATGCAAAATACTCCGTAATTTGTTTTTAATCTCAAAAGTAAAAAAAAGTAAAGAAAGAGTCACATTTAAAAAGGCCCAGTCACACTTTCGAGTTAATTTAAAAAATTAAGTTAACATAGTACGTAGTTTTGTCATTTGATTCTATTTATAATTTTATAACACTACAAAAAATACGTCGTTTGTCACGGATTTTTGTCACGGATTCCGGCCGTGACAAAGTTGTCACGGGCTTTGTCACGGAATATTGGGATTTGTTACGAAAATGTTTTGTCACGGATTTATCCGACGACCGGTTTTTTACTCCGGTAATACTTTTTTTGCTTCCGGGCATTTGTCACAGACTGTTCCGTGACAAATCCGTGACAAATTTCAAAAAAACTTTGTCACGGATGGATTCGTGACAAAATCCGTGACAAACCTCGATTATTGATTTTCCAGCGGTAACCTTTAATAATACGGTACGGAAAAAGCGTTATCACGGATAAATCCGTGACAAATCCGTGACAAACTTTTTTAGATAACCCAACCCCATCGTCCATTACAATTGCAAGAACAACAATTATCAGTTCAAAAATTCGTAGATTCGAGTGATGTAGTATCGGTTTAAAGATTGAATGATGTAATCCGTCAGTTCATCATTTTCCCAGTTTATGCAGATAAGGTATGTCAATTTAACTAATTTCTTTTAATTGTGTAATAAATTAATTATTAGCTTAATAATTAATTATTATTAGTGAGGTTAGGATTCTTTTTTCTTTATATAATAATAATTAATTATTAAGTTAATAATTAATTAGTGAGGTTAGTTGTTCATTTATTTAAACTATTAACGTAATTTAGTGAGGTCATGTTAATTTTCATATTATTAACAATATATTATTAAACTATTAACGTAATTTAATAAGTTAAATTTAAATATAAATATTAATTAGTTAAATTATTGTTATTATTAATGCATAATTTAGGATGTGTAGTGATGATTTAAGTATTAGCTAGCTTATTATAGATTAATTAATTAGTGACTTGTAGTGATTTAATTAAGTTAGCTAGCTTAATTAATAGGTTATTAATTATCACCAATTATTATTTATTAGCAATTATTGTTAATGAGATGCATAATATAGCTAGCTAGGATTGAAACTTTATTATTATTTAGTTTAGTGTGAATTATTATTGTGAATTATTAATGAGATAATATTTAACAATAATATTAGTTAAATGTAAATTAATTAACTAATTAATTAAGTTAAAACATTGAGGAAATGAGTTTAGAATTTGATGAGTTGATAATATTAGTTAGATTTAAATATTAGTTAATTGATCAATGATGATGATTAGGTTTAATTTGTTTATTAATTAGTTAATTATTGTTAATGCATAATTTAGGATTTGTAGTGATTTAAGTTAGGATTCAAACTTTGTCACGGATTTTTTGAACTAGCGTCCGTGACAAAATCCGTGACAAACGGCGTGTTTTTTTGTAGCGTAACCGATTAAAGTACACATAACACAAAGATACTATGCTAAAATGATAAGGTGTGATCGTACTCATAATAAAAGTTGGGTCACAAAACCCTCAGCTCGATCCAGTGGCGGAACTAGGGAGGGCGAGCCGGTGCTGCCGCCCCCCGTTCGCCGGAGATGGTGGTGTATATATATGTATATATGTATGTACAGCCCCGTCTCAAAGTAATGTAATAAATATACACCGACCTGTTTTGTAAACAATACTTTAGGTAGCAGAGATGGTAGAACTTCGCTTTAGCTTTCTTACAAACCCGGGTTCGAGTCCCCCTGGCACGTGGAGTCTTTTAATTGTTAAACCTCCTCTACTTTCTCTTCTTTTGTGACTGTTTTAGTTTTAATTTTGGAAAAAATAATTAAAATACCCCAAAGTTTGATGGGATGTGAGATAAACACCCCGAACTTTCATATGTAATTTAAATACCCCAAACTTTATATAAAAAGTTAATTTAACACCATGGTTATGTATGATTTCTTTCAAAAATGTAAATATATGATGTTAAATGCATAATTTAAAATAGAAAATTGAAAACATTAGAATTATATATAGTGGTGGGTAATACTATTTATTTTACTATGGAAGTTTAGAATGTTAATTGTATCTTTATGAATACTAAAAATTATCAAATTATGAAATAAACACCAAAAATTAATATTTTTGAAAGAAATAATACATGAAGATGGTGCTAAAATAACTTTTATATAAAGTTTGGGGTATTTAAATTACATATGCAAGTTTGGGGTGTTTATCTCACACCCCTTCAAAGTTTGGGGTATTTTAATTATTTTCCCCTTTAATTTTTTCCTATCGCACTACATTTCTTTTACTTTTATTATACATTTTTATTTTTCCAATTTATAATATTTAACTTTTTTTACTTTTTCGAATATTGACATGTTATTTACATTTTCTGTTTAGTGCAATGACTATAAAGTTTTAACTTAACATAACTATTTATTCTTTGCTTTAATACAAATATGCCAAAACTTCTTGTTAATATTTGAAATATGCGACTTTAATTATATGTGTATAATTAAATTTATTTAATAAATTTGCATAAATAAAACAATTAATATCCTTTTAAAAAACAAATAACCTAGAAACAACGTTAAATTGAAAAGAGAAACAAAATTATTATTTTCTTGATAAGTTAGTAACTTACATATACTCCGTATGGGAGTTTTAATTTATCTTCCTCTATTTGTTTAGCTATATTTCTATTTAAACCTTGATATTTAAAACGAGTGTATTAAAAACGAATATAGTAGAGATTATATATCTTTCGAACTCGATGATTTGATTTTTTTTCGTCCCTCAATTTTTGTTAAAGTTCCGCCACTGGCTCGATCGTACTTAATTTTGAAATACAGTACACTGCTTAATTATTGAATTTTTGTGAGGGTGGAACGTAACTAGCTTAGCTACAATTTATTTATTTATAACATAAATGTGATTGCTAAATTTTGTATAGTAATGGGGAGTGTACCCTACGTGGGGTGGTTAGTGAGACATGCACGCACCCATTATATTTTCATTTGGAGAAAAACAAGGATCGGAATTGAAGCGATCGGATCATCATCGATCATCAGCATTGTCTTTATTTATTACAGAGAACAAAGAAGAGTGTACAATTAATTAATTAATTAGCTTAGCTATCGGATCGGAGAGGTAATGGCAGCAGGAGGGAGTAGCAGTGAGGAGATAAAGAAAGGGCCATGGAAAGCGGAGGAAGATGAGGTGCTTCTGCAGCACGTGAGGCAGCACGGCCCCCGCCACTGGAGCTCCATTCGATCCAAAGGCCTCCTCCACCGCACCGGCAAGTCCTGCCGCCTCCGCTGGGTCAACAAGCTCCGCCCCGACTTGAAATCCGGCCTCAAGTTCTCCGCCGAGGAGGAGAGGATCGTCATCGACCTTCAGGCGCACTTCGGCAACAAATGGGCCAAAATAGCCACCTACTTGCCCGGCAGAACCGACAACGACGTCAAGAATTTCTGGAGCAGCAGGCGCAAGAGGTTTGCTAGAATCATCAATTCCACACCCAAATCTTCTACCGCCGCAGGCCCCCTTAATTCCACACCTCACAAGAAGGTTCACCCTATTCAATTCATTTTTCTTAATCAATGCTTTGTACAATGATATATTGTAATTGCTACTCATGATGGATTGAAAGGTGCAGGAGGAGGAGGCAGCAGCAATGATGAAGTTGAGATCATGTGATCATGAAGAGTACTCATGTTCGTGTGAATGGACCTCAATCCCGATGCTGGAAGACAGTACCAACCCAGCTGCGTGGTTCCCATTCGAGCCGCCGCCGGACCACTTTGGGCTAGAGACCGCACCCTGCAGCTGCTGCGGCGCTGGCTTTAGTGGGTGGCCGCCGCAGGTACACACACCCTTGCAGCGGCTAGAAAATGATCAGGTAGCGGCGGCAGCAGCTTGTTTCAACACCACACTCGGGGGGGACGGTGACGATCTGGCCTTCTTGGATGCTCTTGGAAATGCCCCGCCAGCAGCGGATCAAAGCTTCATGTGTTGCAGCAGTGCTGCGGCGGCGGGGATTAGTAACGATAACTATTTCTACTGCGGCGACTCTGTGCTGATCCCTGATCCCTCCAGCTTCGTTGATGGGGACTTCCCCATTGACTACGACGTGTTTGATGACCAACTTCCTAACCCGCCACCTGCAGCAGATTCCTGATCCAGGACGTGCATGTACGTAGACGATCTATTCCAATGCATGCATATATATACTTATCACGTTTGTATTTTCCATTCTCGATATACCATCCACACATTTTAACATGCAGTATCATGTAGTGTCCATGCATGATTAATTGTACGTACGTACGTACGTGTTGATCGAGGGAGGTATATATATTTTGTCTCCACGTACCTTGTATTAGCTAGCTAGATTTCAATCAAAGAGTTCGTTGCTTAGTTTGGATTTGATTTCTATGAAGGGAGGAGCTAAGCTAGTTAGTACTTCCTCCCTTCTTAAATAAATGCAACAGTCAACATTTCACATTTTCCGAGACACAACTTTGACAATTAATATATTCCCTCCGGTCCTAAATCATATTCACACTTTCTGTTTTTGGCTGGTCCAAATTCATCTTCACACTTCCATTTTAGGAATTTTTTTAGGTGAAATGTCTAAAGTACCCTTATTAAATTTACCTTCTCCCCCCTTACCCCCATATGATTCGCGCACCCCCCCGCTTACCCCCATTTCCTTCGCACTGACCCCTTCATCTCTGTCTTTCTCTCGAACCTTCCCTCTCGCACTGACCCCTTCATCTCTTGGGCTAAGTTAATAATTGATGTTTGTTGTAATGGGCAAAGCCCAAAATAATTAGGAGTGTTCTAGAGAGAAATGTTCTAGAAAGTTTCTAGAGTGTGAGACTTCTAGAGACATTCTAGAGAATAATTAATAATATAGTATTCTAGATAAGGAGAATTCTAGAGAACTCTCCACCATTTATTGAGGATGTAAGTAGTATAAATATGTGTAGTTGTGCTCATTTGTAATCAAGCACAAGCTAAGAAATCTTCAAGCAATAAAATACAAGTTCTCTCTTCTTCCATCCTCTCTTCTAGTTAGCTAAAAGCTTTTTCTACTTACACAATTTACTTCATAACGTCCTAAAATACTTAGCCTCTACCTCTAATATTCCAACAAACTGGTATCAGAGCCATGGCTAACGGGATGCAATCCTTTCAATTCCCTCGCCTAACCAAAGATAACTATAGTACTTGGTGCATCCGAATGAAGGCAATATTAGGTTCACAAAAGGTGTGGGATTTGGTGTTGAATGGCTACGTTGAACCGGAGGATGAAAGTACTCTTAGTGCACTCCAAAAGGACGCATTAGAGAAGGCTCGGGAGAAGGATCAAAAGGCAATGACTCTCATTCATCAATGTTTGGATGACAATCAACTTGTGAAGGTTGCAAATGCAACTACTTCGAAGCAAGTTTGGGAGATTCTTCAAAATACATATCGTGGAGTCGATAAGGTAAAACGCGTTCGTCTCCAAACACTTAGAGGTGAGTTTGAGTCTCTTCAAATGAAGGAATCCGAGTCTATTTCTGATTATTTTGATAGAGTTGAGAATGTAGTAGATGAACTAAGGAGGAATGGAGAAAATTTGGAAGATACAAGAGTGGTAGAAAAAATTCTTCGCTCTTTAACTCCAAATTTTGAGCATGTGGTAGTGGCTATTGAAGAATCACATGATATAGACTTGATGACTATAGACCAACTCAACGGATCACTAGTGGCCCATGAAGAAAAAATGAAAAAGAAGAAAGTGCAATATACGTTGGAGCAAGCACTTTATACACAACTCTCACTCAAAAGAGGTGATGGTCAAAGAGGGCGAGCTAGGGGCCGTGGACGAGGTCGAGGCCGAGGAAGAGGACATGGTGAAAATCACCAAGAACACGAAGAAGAGAAAAAACAACACTTCAAGCCGACAAGAGGTCGTGGAAGAGGCGGATACCAAAGGTATGAGAAATCACAAGTTAGATGCTATAATTGTGATAAATTTGGTCACTTCGCTTCCGATTGCAAGGCAAATTACTGTGAAGTGGAAGAAAAGTTTAACCAAGTCAAGGATGAAGTCGATCTTACCTTATTGATGGCACATGATCTTAAAGAGAAAGAAAGAAAAAGTGTGTGGGTATTAGATACCGGCGCAAGCAACCACATGACCGGTGATAAAACCATGTTCGCGGAAATTAAACAAGCCAATGGAAAAGTCACATTTGGAGACGAGTCAAAGGTGTCAGTGGAAGGAAGAGGTAATATCTTAATCCGTCTAAAAGATGGTAGTCACCAATTTATTTCCGATGTTTATTATGTGCCCAATCTAAAAAATAATATTTTGAGTTTGGGGCAACTTCTAGAAAAAGGTTATGACATCAATCTAAAAGATAATAATCTTTTTCTAAGAAGTGAAGGAAGATTAATAACCAAAGTGCCAATGACGAAAAATAGAATGTTTTTATTGGAGATTCAAAATGATGAAGCAAAATGCTTACATTCATGTTTAAAAGATGATTCGTGGTTATGGCACTTAAGGTTTGGGCACTTGAACTTTGGTGGCTTAAATTTATTATCAAGAACCAAAATGGTTGATGGGATGCCAATCATAAATCATCCAAATCAATTGTGTGAGGGGTGTCTTTTAGGAAAACATGCAAGAAAAGGTTTTCCAAAAGAATCAAATTTTAGAGCTAAGAGGCCCTTGGAATTAATTCATGCTGATGTTTGTGGACCCATTAAACCAAGTTCATATGGAAAGAATAATTATTTTCTTCTTTTCATTGATGATTATTCTAGAAAAACTTGGGTCTATTTTCTAAAAGAAAAGTCGGAAGTCTTTGGGTCATTTAAAAAATTTAAGGCCCTTGTAGAAAAGGAAGTTCGGCATGAAATACAAGCCATGAGATCCGATAGAGGAGGTGAATTTACATCAAATGAATTTAATGAATTTTGTGAAAATAATGGGATTCGCCGTCCTTTAACGGTTCCATATTCACCACAACAAAATGGCGTGGTTGAAAGGAAAAATAGAACTATTCTTGAGATGGCTAGAAGCATGCTAAAAAGCAAGAATATGCCGAAAGAATTTTGGGCCGAAGCGGTTGATTGTGCTGTGTATATTTTAAATTGTTGTCCAACTAAAAGTCTTGACAACAAGACACCTCAAGAAGCATGGCGGAAGAAGAAACCAAATGTTTCTCACCTTCGAGTTTTTGGAAGTATAGCATATGCTCATGTGCCGGATCAAAAACGTTCAAAGCTTGATGATAAAAGTGAGAAGTTTGTGTTTATTGGATACGATAAACACTCGAAGGGATATAAGCTATATAATCCAGTCACAAAGAAAATCATTGTGAGCCGAGATGTCCAATTTGATGAAGAAGTCTCTTGGGATTGGAGTGTTCAAGAAGATGAGAATTACAACTTCTTCCCGCTCTTTGAAGAAAATGAAGAACAAGAGGAGCATGATGATCAAGCGGCTCAAGAACCAAACACTCCACCTCATTCACCATCCATCCAAGGAAGTCCATCAACCACCGAGGAAGGCTCAAATGAAAGAACTCCCCGTTATAGAAGCTTACAAGAGATATATGAGGTAACACAAAATTTGGATGAAATAACTCTTGTTTGTCTTCTTAATGATTGTGAACCAATAGGTGTTCAAGAGGCGCTATAAGACAAGAAGTGGAAAAATGCTATGGACGAGGAGATGAAGTGAATCATAAAGAATGATACTTGGGAGTTAGCTACGCTACCAAAGGGGCACAAGGCTATTGGCACTAAATGGGTATACAAAGCAAAGAAAAATGCCAAAGGAGAAATTGAAAGATACAAGGCAAGGTTGGTGGAGAAAGGGTACAAGCAAAGGGCCGGTATTGACTATGACGAGGTATTTGCTCCCGTTGTCCGCTTAGAAACTATAAGATTACTTATTTCAATTACGGCTCAAAATAATTGGAGATTATACCAAATGGACATAAAATCAACTTTCTTAAATGGTGATTTGGAAGAAGAAGTCTATTTGGAACAACCCCCGGGTTATATAATTAAAGGGCAAGAAAATAAAGTTTTAAAATTAAAGAAGGCACTTTATGGATTAAAACAAGCCCCAAGAGCTTGGAATAATAGAATAGACAAGTACTTCCAAGAAAATGGTTTTCTAAGGTGCCCTTATGAATATGCCCTTTATGTAAAAACAAATGAAGATGGGGATATTTTGATTGTGTGCTTATATGTGGATGATTTGATATTCACGGGTAACAATCCAAGAATGTTTGATGCTTTCAAGAAAGAAATGAGCCGTGAATTTGAGATGACGGATATGGGACTTATGTCATACTATCTCGGAATTGAAGTCAATCAAAGTGATAGAGGAATATTTATTTCCCAAGAAGGTTATGCAAGAAAAATTCTCAAGAAATTTAAGATGAATGAGTGCAAGCCGATTGACACACCAGTCGATTATGGGACAAAATTCTCCAAGTTTGATGAAGGGGATAAAGTTGATCCGACTGTGTTCAAAAGTTTGGTTGGGAGCTTGCGCTACTTAACATGTACGAGGCCCGATATTCTTTTTGGAGTGGGACTTATTAGCCGCTATATGGAAGCACCAACATCTATCCATATGAAGGCCGCCAAAAGGATTCTACGCTACCTAAAAGGTACGATTAGCTTTGGATTGACTTACTCATCTTCTAAAGAATATAAGTTGTTTGGTTATAGTGATAGCGATTGGGGTGGAGATATTGATGACCGTAAGAGTACAACCGGGTTTGTACTTTACATGGGGCTGAATATGTTGCCGCTACGTCATGTGTATGTCACATCATTTGGCTTCGAAGATTGTTGAAGGAAATTCACATGCCGCAAGAAGATGCAACCGAGATTTATGTTGATAACAAGTCGGCCATTGCACTTGCAAAAAATCCCGTCTATCATGACCGAACCAAACATATTGATACTCGCTACCATTTTATTCGTGAATGTGTCGAGAACAAAGAGGTCCAAGTGAAGTATGTGAGGTCGCAAGATCAAGTTGCGGATATTCTTACAAAACCTCTCAAGCATGAAGACTTCAAGCAATTGAGAAGAATGCTCGGAGTTGGAAATCAAGTTTAAGGGGGGATGTTAGAATGTAAACTTGATTTTGGGCTAAGTTAATAATTGATGTTTGTTGTAATGGGCAAAGCCCAAAATAATTAGGAGTGTTCTAGAGAGAAATGTTCTAGAAAGTTTCTAGAGTGTGAGACTTCTAGAGACATTCTAGAGAATAATTAATAATAGAGTATTCTAGATAAGGAGAATTCTAGAGAACTCTCCACCATTTATTGAGGATGTAAGTAGTATAAATATGTGTAGTTGTGCTCATTTGTAATCAAGCATCAAGCTAAGAAATCTTCAAGCAATAAAATACAAGTTCTCTCTTCTTCCATCCTCTCTTCTAGTTAGCTAAAAGCTTTTTCTACTTACACAATTTACTTCATAACGTCCTAAAATACTTAGCCTCTACCTCTAATTTTCAACATACCCCCATTTCCTTCGCACTGACCCCTTCATCTCTGTCTTTCTCTCGAACCTTCCCTCTCTCAGCTCCTCTCCGTCTCTCTATCTTCCATTGCCTCCACCGCACCCGTCGTTCTACTAACCCCCATCCTTAGCCTCCGTTCTACTCACCTCCATAATCACAGTCCGTTCTACAAACTTCCATTATTGACATGGATCGGAAACCATCACCCCCAAAAAACCTTAGTCCATCGGTCGGACTTCCTAAATCAATAGATCCGATTGACGCTGAACCCTTAGAAGCGGATGTTTCTAATGCAACTGCAAACCAAGAAGCAGTTCCCTGAAGACCGATCATAGTTCGTTTTGGTTATGCATCCTCATGTGAGACTGATCCGAACAGGAGATTGCGGAAGAAATACGGATCTAATTTGGTCTTGGATACCTACGAAGGTTTGGACGGCTTGGATTCAGAAGATGGTGAGGAAGTGAACTCAGGACCGGTAGCGGATGAAGGAGGAGAGAGCGACGGCGGCGGTGGGGAAGATGACTGCAACGAACGGCTTCCTTAAGGGCAGTAACGTTCTAAACCCTTTTTCGTTATGTATTTAATGTTGTTTGGGCTTTGCATGTTATTGAGAGTGGCCGATTTGGATTGAAGTGTGACTGATGATGATTTTAGGGTTGTGAATTAATGATATGTGGATCAAATGTGTGTTATGAAAACAGATTCACCTATGATGTGTGTTTGCTTTATTAATGTGATGTATGGATGCCTAAAAAATTCTGAGGTATTTGTGCCAAGGATATGTAACCCGTGATCATGATTAACTGTGTTTGCCTATGCTCATATACCGGTGATGAATCTATGATTAATCTGAGGTGTATTACCCTAGGATTTGTAACCTTTGATCATGATTATGTTGGTTTGCCTATGGTGAGTTACCTGTGATGATTGTGATTATATCTGAGGTGTGTTAGCCTAGGAAATGTGACATGTGATCATGATTATGTTGGTTTGCCTATGGTATGACTCACCCATGATGAAGTTAGATTAATTTGAGGTGTGGTAGCCTAGGAAATGTAACCTATGATCATGATTAAATGTGATTTGCCTATGCTCATGTACCTATGATGCCTCTGTGAATAATGTGAAGTGTGGTGTTGTCTATGCAAAGTTAATAGTGACCATGAACAATTGTGTTTGCCTATGCTCATGTACCTGTGATTTCTATGTGAATAATGTGAGATGTGTACCTGCTAAACATTGTACACTGATCAACAACTGCCATATGCTTACATTGCTTGTGTTTAGCTAAATTATTGTACGCTTGTAGTGGGGGTACATCAAAAAATTGTACTCTACTGTCTGCCCTGGTACATATAAAAACAGTACACCACCTAGTCATTACAAACCTGTGTGTACTTACAAAACATTCAAAAAGTTAACCACAAAGGGTAGTTACTTCATACTTGAAGATGTTGTGCATCTTCATCTATGAACTGAGCCCCTTCAGTTGGATTTGTGGAAGTTGTTGCCATATGTCCATCCATGAATGCCTTAGCTGTTTCATACAACTCAGGGGATATTTGGACATTTTTTGGTAGCATTCCCTGCCTTTGCAACTTGCCTTTGCCAACATGTCTTAGCTTGAAATCATTTCCTCCTCTGTGATCTAGTATTTCTTGCATTACATATTGATAGCTCAAAAAGACTTTGTTCAGAGTTTGTGGTGTCAGCTCATCATATGAGACTTGCACTGCATGTTTTAAATCCATTCTGTTCTTTGGGGCCTTTTGATCCTTTATGGAATCAATAGCCCTAAAGAAACCAAGGTCCAATACGTTTAAATCTGGACTGTTGGGAGGTTGAAACTGTAGTTGGATATTACATCCATCCTCTGACCCAGATTTAAGAAACTTTGCATCATGTATGTCTATGTGTGGCTTGGCATTATCTTGTTGTATTATGACCTTTCTGTTTGATGACTGTGGCCACTTGGCTTTGATTGCTGGCAGTAGGGTGTGTAGTATCATGTCTTTCATTACTTGCCTAGTCACACTCAATGTTGGTTTGGTTTCTAAAGTCCTAGCTGATCTATTTTTGCTTGATCTCTTTGTTGTGTCTTGATATGTGAATGGAAAAATCCCTATTTTCCCATCCCACTCCACCTCCCCACTGTCAGCAATTCTAGGCCTCCCTACTCCAGCCAGAAACATTATATTTGGAATAATTTTTTTAGATTGAGTTGTTGTGTGTGGATCATTTTCTATGGGAAGGGTGTAAAAAGTAGTTGTCTCTTTTGACAAATAAAACCACTTTTCATCAATGTGAACACAGTCATAGAAATCATGAAATGTTGGACTTGTGTGTACTGATTGAGGATTGATTTGACTTAAGCAAAACTCTAACCTTTTCAATTTCCCTGCTTCTGTTAGAAGAGGCTTGATTGCGCTTGAATGTATTCTTATCTGTTTTGTCTTAAACCACCCTTGCACTGATGTTTTTGAGACTTCCATGGCAAATGCCAGTGATCTCTGATTTTTCCTCTGATGTAAGGGAATCTGGGCAATCTTTTGCACATCAAAACTAATTCTTTTTCTCCCAACATTTCCCTTCAATCTGGGCTCCACTTGTATGGCATGTCCACTCTGCATATCTTGCTTTGCTTGACTCCATAATTTGTGAATGGTCCGAGTGGATACTTTAAATTGGGTGGCTAATGTTCTTATCACACCCCTCTGAAGTTTACCTTCAACTGAAACTGCCAGTAACCTCTCAATCAACGCCCTACGATTTTCAAAGTTGAACTTAGGCCTTTTTTGTTTAACTGCTCCACTGCTTTGTACCCCTACCCCTCCAGTGGGGTCCACTGTTAGATCTATTATTGGCTGAACACTGTTAATGTTGTCTTGTGCAGGTTCACCATCCGTGTCTTCTTCTTCAAGGGGGGTCCACAGCAGGTTGTTGGGCAGCAGCATTTATAGAAGAAGACTCCATAAATGAAGAGCTTTAGAAGGAAGAAAATGGCAGAAGATTTCTAGGTTAGAAGTAGTGTATTCAATGCTTTAGTATTTATAGATAAAGTTGTGTAAGTCTAAAGTAGAATTTTGGAGGGAATCCAAAAAGGAATCTTCCCTCCTTTTGGCCGTCGAAATGTAACCTATCTACTCTCTTTCCTTTATGTCATTCAATTTTAGCTTTTCAATTACACTTCCTCCAGTTTTTTTTTTTACTTTGATTAGATGGGGGTAACTTCTTTGGGGGGTATTTTTGGAAAGTCAACAAAAAAATTCCACTTTCTTAAAAACCAAAAAGTCAAACTGTGAATATGATTTGGGACCGGAGGGAGTATATAACTCTATATTAGTAAAAAAATTAAAAAAAATCAGATTTTGAAAATTTACAATGATACAAATTTAGTAATATTTTTTTCAAAAAAATATATTAATACATCAATAAATAAAACGTAGTCAAAGTAGAACATGTGAATAATGTAAAATTTAGTATGTTGCACTTATTTAAGAACGGAAGTAGTACGTTATAACGACTTTGGTAATGTTTGTTGCATGTGTTTACAACATTTGGTTGGGTACTTGGGTGTATCTGTCCGATACGGAGTACTCCCTCCGTCCCAATTTGTTTTGCAAAGTCAACATTTGTTTGTCAACCAATAATAAAAGTCAATCCTCCCTATTAATAATTAATTCATTTTTTTTCAATTAAAATTTACATATTCATAAACTACATTAAAATCTCTTCAAAGTTGTAAACTCCAAATTAAAATATACGAAGTAACTAAAAATTGACATCCTAATCAAGCGAACAAAATGAAACTGTTTGAGCAAGAAAAGTCAAATTTGCAAATCAATTTGGGACGGAGATAGTAGTATATATTTTGCAGCTGCGAAACAGGTTTAATCCCAAACATACATTTGAATATCTGATTCATGTTAATTAGTGGATTACCTAGTAATATAATGGGGCTAGCTAGGAATATCGATCAATAAGTTTACACCTAATCTGCTACCTAATCGTAGGGGAATTCTAACCCACCCTTTACTAAATAAAGCTTCTAATTAAACAAACAGATTTTAAACAAACAGATTTTAGTAGTTGTATCCGATGGAAACCATCGTGTCTTTATAGACTAAGATCAAAATATGGAGAAGTTATCCGCAATAGGAAGCAAGATCAGGTTAGAAGGTGGGTGGTTGCATCGACTCGGCGGCGTTCTTGGATGGTGCTAGACTACTGGTGTTTGAGGATTATTATTGAGAAATATTAATAATCTGAAACGACAACAACATATTTGAACAAACAGATTTAGTAGCTGTATGAGTTGGAAACCATCGTGTCTTAATAGGCAAGATCAAAATTTGGAGAAGTTATCTGCAATAGGAAGCAAGATTGGGTGACGAAGAGGGTTGTATTGACTCACCGGCATTCTTGTAGATCAGCCATCACAGAGAGAGTGTTGGGACAATAATAGGGATATAATAGACATTTAGTTTAATTAGGGGCTGTATTTAGAAAGAGTGGGCTGTATTTAGAATTACCCCTAATCGTATCTGGCATCCTCTCATACTCCCTCCCATTTTACCTTTCGTGAAATCCCACTAAGATTGATACATACTAAATTTGGTAAAGTTTGATTTGTGTGGCTGTAAATTATTCTTACTTTATTCTTACTTTATCAATTTAGGGGGTGTATTGAATATGGATCGTGGTGGACTTTTTTAAATTCATGGACTTTTAAAAAAAGTCTATAGAATTTAAAATTCGTAGGCTTTTTTATGAGTGAATTCTATTGGCTTATAAATTCATGTATAAGTTTATAGACTTCTAAAAAGTTCAAAGACTTTTAAATTCAGATTGTCACTTTCGATTATCAGAATTTTCACTTAGATCGCCGCTATTGATTTGTTTGTCCGCCTCTGTCACCAGAGTTCACCGTCGTCGTCATCAGATTGATCCACCACCAACAAAATGACTTTGGTTATTCAAGGGAAATAGGGACAATTAATTATATTAATTAATTAAATTAGGGGATTGAAATGTAATATTTGGTCTTATTTAAGGAAACCAAACATATGACCATACTTTGAGGAAAATGTTATGTTAAGTTTTAGTCCTATCGTAAGTAATTTCCTATGTGTAATATAATAAAAAAAACAATAAAATAAATAAATGAAACAAATAAATGAATAAATGAAGCATAAGGAATTAATCCAAATTTATTTTTATTAAAAAGAAACTCTATTGTTATATAATTATTGATGGATAGTGTACCCGGGGGTAGCTTATCCGAGGGGTTATTACGGGGAATAACTAGAGAGAAGTCAGAGCAAGTAGGAGAGAGAAAGTGTATTGAATATGTAATTTAAGGCTTTTTTTAGCGTGGTTTACAACGGCAAATGGGGTGCTATTTATAGTAGTAATAAATGCCAGACAGGGACACGT